AATATATGATATATATAAATGTGAGACAATCTTGTTCGAAAACGAAAGTTAACAAGAGACTTCAACTAGAAAAAACATTTCCTATTGTAGATTTTCAGCAAATTATGAAATCCTGTAACTCAAAATTTTTATGTTTTTATAAGAAAAATATGATGCTCAAATGAAAATTTATCAATATTGTAATTTCCAATAATCATTATTTGTAAAGATATTACCGAATTTACATTTCATGTTCATAAAGGGAGGTAATTAGAAATTTATTTTCTATTTTTTTCAATAAGAAATGAATGCATATATTTTAATGATGACATATTATCTGGACAAATATTTGCAGTACATGTTTTACATATTCTTAAATGTTTGAAAATTGTTTTAGAAGCATAATTATATACATATATAAAATTTCACTTAATTGTGGTAACAACCTTAATTACAACATACAGGATTATTAATCCTAAGTTGTTTACTGATTCTAATTTTGTAATTATTTTTCAAATAGTTCAATCTTTAAATTTTCAGAAACCAGAACACATCTTCCCAAACAGATAAAGTTTACATGTATTTGCTTGTTAATTTGTAAAGTGCTCCGGAAAAATATTATTTAAGAAAGGATAATCATAGGTCAGATTTTTTTAACTGAATATTTGTGTGGTAAGTAATAGAAAGAGCACCGAAACACGAGGCTATCTGATTTGTACGAGGGGGCGTAGCCCTCGAGTATAAATCAGATTGCCGAGTGTTTTGGTGTTCTTTCTCTTTTGTATCATAGTCAAACATGACAGCACGTTCCCTTTTGTCATAATATGAAACCCCAGAAAAAATTAACCAATGAACGAGCATTTGAATATGATAGTTCTGCCCCTTTCCCTTTCTCTGCCGTCACAATATGTAAACCCCGGCAAAAATGAACCAATCCACGGGCATTATCTGGAGTGCGGGTAACTGATACCCGCACTCCAGTTACCGCACTGTGCATGTATATGTATACGATTTAACTCTGACACTTTTTCAACAGAAAGGTCCCCAAACTATGATACAAGTAATAGAAAGAGCACCGAAACACGAGGCTATCTGATTTGTACGAGGGGGCGTAGCCCCCGAGTATAAATCAGATTGCCGAGTGTTTTGGTGTTCTTTCTCTTTTGTATCATAGTCAAACATGACAGCACGTTCCCTGTTGTCATAATATGAAACCCCAGAAAAAATTAACCAATGAACGAGCATTTGAATATGATAGTTCTGCCCCTTTCCCTTTCTCTGCCGTCACAATATGTAAACCCCGGCAAAAATGAACCAATCCACGGGCATTATCTGGAGTGCGGGTAACTGATACCCGCACTCCAGTTACCGCACTGTGCATGTATATGTATACGATTTAACTCTGACACTTTTTCAACAGAAAGGTCCCCAAACTATGATACAAGTAATAGAAAGAGCACCGAAACACGAGGCTATCTGATTTGTACGAGTGGGCGTAGCCCCCGAGTACTAATCAAATTGCCGAGTGTTTTGGTGTTCTTTCTCTTTTGTATCATAGTCAAACATAAAAACACGTTCCCTGTTGTCACAATATGAAACCCCGGCAAAAATGAACCAATGAACGAACATCTGAATATGATATTTCTGTCGCTTTCCCTTTCTCTGCCGTCACAATATGTAAACCCCAGCAAAAATGAGCCAATCAATGGGCATGCTCTGGAGTGCGGGTAACTAATACCCGCACTCCAGTTAACGCACTGTGCATGTATATTTATATGATTTAACCCTGACACATTTTCAACAGAAATGTCACCAAACTATGATACAATTTCATTTGGAGTACTTTTGATCTTTGTGAACTATTCCTATAAATGTATATAGAGAAATTTGCAAATACATATAATTATATCTTTATTAATCAGGAATTTGTGCTTGAAGCAAAAACCTTAAATCTTGTTTTTAATCTAACCTCTCGATAAAGTCCACAATTCTTCTTGTAATAAACAAAAGTTTTCTCGTAATATACAAAAGTTGGTAACCATTTAACCTAATTGGAATAGTACAAATCGGACATTTCATTAAAAAGTTATTTCAATTATTATATAATTTATTTTTATAAATATATGTCTTTAGGATATGCAACCTTTTAGTGTCATTTTTCAATTAAGCTTAACTTGCCGAAGGTGTGAAATTCAAATGTACAAAAAAAACTTTAAAAAAGTATCAGATTTGGGGACGAAAAGGTGAAAAAGTTAGTGAGCCAACAGTATAGGGCTTTATCAGATTGCACCAAATTACAAGTTTGGCTGGTTAAAGCTACTCACATTAGGTTCTACTAGGGAAAAATGAAATCTTCACTTTAAAAGTAAGCAATAGCAGACCTACCTGAGCATATAATTATGCCCCCATTTCGAAGAAAAGGGGGTATATTGCTTTGCACTTGTCGGTCCGTCGGTCCGTTGGTCCGTCGGTCCGTAGACCAAATGGTTTCCGAGTGATAACTAAAGAACCCTTAGGCCTAGGAACTTCAAACTTGGTATGGTGATTGGTCATGACCAGTAGATGACCCCTATTGATTTTGGGGTCAAGGGGTCAAAAGTCAAGGTCACATTGACCTTGTAAGCAGAAACGGTTTCCGATCAATAACTAAAGAACCTTAAGGCCTAGGAACTTCAAACTTGGTATGGTGATTGGTCATGACCAGTAGATGACCCCTATTGATTTTGGGGTCATGGGGTCAAAGGTCAAGGTCACATTGACCTTGTAAGCAAAAACGGTTTCCGATCAATAACTAAAGAAACTTAAGGCCTAGGAACTTCAAACTTGGTATGGTGATTGGTCATGACCAGTAGATGACCCCTATTGATTTTGGGGTCAAGGGGTCAAAGGTCAAGGTCACATTGACCTTGTAAGCAAAAACGGTTTCCGATCAATAACTAAAGAACTAAGGCCTAGGAACTTCAAACTTGGTATGGTGATTGGTCATGATCAGTAGATGACCCCTATTGATTTTGGGGTCAAGGGGTCAAAGGTCAAGGTCACATTGACCTTGTAAGCAATAACGGTTTCCGATCAATAACTAAAGAACTTTAAGGCCTAGGAACTTCAAACTTGGTATGGTGATTGGTCATGATCAGTAGATGACCCCTATTGATTTTGGGGTCAAGGGGTCAAAGGTCAAGGTCACATTGACCTCTTTGGTAAAAACGGTTTCTGATCAATAACAAAAGAACCCTTAGGCCTAGGAACTTCAAACTTGGTATGGTGATTGGTCATGACCAGCAGATGACCCCTATTGATTTTGGGGTTAAGGGGTCAAAGGTCAAGGTCACATTGACCTTGAAGGTAAAAACGATTTCCGATCAATAACAAAAGAACCAAAGAACCCTTAGGCCTAGGAACTTCAAACTTAGTATGGTGATTGGTCATGACCAGCAGATGACCCCTATTGATTTTGGGGTAAAGGGGTCAAAGGTGAAGGTCACATTGACTTTGTAGGTAAAAACGGTTTCCGATCAATTACGAATGAACCCTTAGGCCTAGGGACTTCAAACTTGATATTGTGATTGGTCATGATCAGTAGATGGCCCCTATTGATTTTGGGGTCAAGGGGTCAAAGGTCAAGGTCACATTGACCTCTTAGGTAAAAACGGTTTCCGATCAATAACTAAAGAACCCTTTGGCCTTGGAACTTCAAACATGGTATGATGATTGGTCATGACCAGCAGATGACCTATTGATTTTGGGGTCAAGGGGTCAAAGGTCAAGGTCACATTGACCTTGTATGTTAAAACGGTTTCCGATCAATTAACTTAAAAAGCTTAGGCCTAGGAACTTCAATCTTTGTATGATGATTGGTCGTGACCAGCAGATGACCCCTATTGGATTTTGGGGTTAAGGGGTCAAAGGTTAAGGTCATGACCAGTTATACTTGATAACCCTTATTAATTGTTTGATCACTGGGTCAGAAGTCATGCATAATAACCTTATCACATGACTCATTGGCTGCTGATAGGGGGCATACATGTTTTACAAACATATCTTGTTCAATTAGAGACACTACAATGCATATAAGATGGAATGTAGTCTAGATTTTATGATACGCCATAATAGTAATACATATACGTTGTATCGTTTTTCCTTCTTTATGCCGTTACGATACATAATTTGCAATAAGGTTGTCAGAATGGTCTATGAATTATTATATACATGTATTGAGTATGCAAGCATATGATTACTTTTTTTAATTTTAGTTTAAGTTATACTTCTTTAATATGCAAAAAGTTGTAAATGAAATAAAGGTGTACATGAAGCAACACTTGAATTATCTTATTGTTTGTTATAGTAAGTAAATCTTAATCTGTTAGGTATGGTGGCATATTTCTGCCACCAGATAATCATATAACTAACTAGTTAATTGATTGGTTAACTAGTTACGTAACTAGTTAACCTCTTAATCAACTAGTTAGGTATCAGGTTAACTAGTTACGTAACTAGTTAACCTCTTAATTAACTAGTTAGGTATCAGGTTAACTATTTACGTAACTAGTTAACCTCTTAATTAACTAGTTAGGTATCAGGTTAACTAGTTACGTAACTAGTTAACCTCTTAATTTACAGGCTAGTTATCAGGTTATCTGGTGGCAGAAATATGCCACCATAGTTAGGCAATGAAATATAATAAACTTTAGAATAAAAAAAACATCTGGTTTTCAATTTTTCTCTTACATTTTATCAGACCTATTAATGGTAATATCATGTTTTTAAATTTAAATTGGTAGTTTAATACTGCGGTAGTCTTTCAGGAGAAAATATATCAAAAAACAAATACAACAGAATACACACAAAACTCACAAAAAAAGAAAGAAAGAAACTGGAAAAACAACAAAGTACGTGTACATGTATTATTCACACGTGAACAAAAGGTTGACCAAAGTTGAAAACGACCCTGTTATACAAGAAATTTGCCTACAGGAAATATTCCAGCGGATAGTAAGTAAACTATTTAAGATTGCTTGTCATTTAATTAAAATAATAATTAAAAATGAATACATTGTTGTTTATTGTAAAATTTGTCATTACAAAGTTGAATTCCAACTGTATCTGATGCGTTAAACACATTGAAATATGAATTTTTCAGCTGCCTGTTTAATTCTTGGTAAGTGTTCATAATACTTAATACTTTATACTGTTTTAAATCAGAAGATATTAACTAAAGTATTAAAGTATCTTTAGATGAAATTGTAACATAATATATTTTGCAACTATATCTGCTTATCTTAGTTCCAAACTAACTCCGTGGCCGAGTCCACTGGGTACTGAACGCAAAAGGTCGAATCCTGTCAAGGACTTTGTTTCGTGTATAACAGCCATTCGACACATGTTAATTCTGTCGAATAAATTATTTTGTTAGAATAAAACGTTATTAATTAAATACTGTTTGACATGAAAATGTGTGTGTGATATATTTGTAATGTTTAGATTATAAAATAGTTATACAAATATGGAGCATTACGCATTTAGTGTTTTTATATTTTCACTACAAATGATTGCCATTTTTTATGAATCTCTGTCGTCCGTGCTATTTTTAGGAATCCCTGTAGTGACTGTTATTTTTAGGAATCTCTGTGGTGACTGTTATTTTTAGGAATCTCTGTGGTGACTGTTTTTTTTAGGAATTTCTATCGTGACTGTTATTTTTAGAAATCTCTGTAGTGACTGTTATTTTTAGGAATCTCTGTAGTGACTGTTATTTTTAGGAATCTCTGTCGTGACTGTTATTTTTAGGAATCTCTGTCGTGACTGTTATTTTTAGGAATCTCTGTAGTGACTGTTATTTTCAGAAATCTCTGTAGTGACTGTTATTTTTAGGAATCTCTGTATAGTGACTGTTATATTTAGGAATCTCTGTAGTGACTGTTATTTTAAGAAATCTCTGTAGCGACTGTTATTTTTAGGAATCTCTGTATAGTGACTGTTATTTTTAGGGATCTATGTAGTGACTGTTATTTTTAGGAATCTCTGTCGTGACTGTTATTTTTAGGAATCTCTGTAGTGACTGTTATTTTTAGGAATCGCTGTCGTGACTGTTATATTTAGGAATCTCTGTAGTGACTGTTATTTTAAGGAATCTCAGTATTGATTGTTATTTTAAGAAATCTCTGTAGTGACTGTTATTTTAAGGAATCTCAGTATTAATTGTTATTTTAAGAAATCTCTGTAGTGACTGTTATTTTTAGGAATCTCTGTATAGTGACTGTTATTTTTAGGAATCTCTGTATAGTGACTGTTATTTTTAGGAATCTCTGTCGTGACTGTTATTTTTAGGAATCTCTGTGGTGATTATTATTTTTAGGAATCTCTGTGGTGATTGTTATTTTTAGGAATCTCTGTAGTGACTGTTTTTCTTATGGAATCTCTGTAGTGACTTTTATTTTTAGGAATCTCTGTCATGACTGCTATTTTTAGGATCTCTGTAGTTACTGCTATTTTTAGGAACCTCTGGAACTGCTATTTTTAGAAATCTCCGTCGTGATTGCTTTTTTTGGAATCTCTATGAGGATTGCTATGAAAATGTTTTGATACGAATTAATTGTTTCTGCAAATTTAATGTTTCTTATTTTACAACTAAGTTTTACAATGTTATCATTAACAGTACTTGTTGTAAAGCTGTCATGCGTAGCAACAATGAAAGAAGATATTAAGAACTGGACAGTTGAGATTTTCCAGAATGGCAAAATTGTTTGTGCTGGTGTCCTTCTCAACAGAAATTTTTTCCTGACTCTTGGGAAATGTATTGATAAGAGGTAAGATTTTATTAAATTTTTTTCAGACAATAAACGGTAAAAAGATTATTTCTTACTGACTTTAGTATGAACAACATCAGCAATTGTGTCAGAAATATATAAGTACACGTTTTTCCTTGATTAAACATACGATGTGAAAACAACAAATTAAATAGCCTTTATAAGGAGTTTGGGAGCATTGATTGTTTACAAGGTATATGTCTTCAATCAATATTAAAATTCAATATTCCGTGTTTCATAAATAAATTTTAAAATTACGTGAACATTCCATGGGGAATCAAGCAATACTGGCATGGTTGCATATCAGGAAAAAAAGTACAACAATCTTTCAGCATATTTTTCAGCATCAATTTGAATAGACTAACAAATTTCTGAATTGTTCATACATGTATTTGAATTGATTCACTTTTTTCCCTTGAAAAATCGTGTCCGACCATGTCTTTATATAGCTTATTCTCTTTCTTTTTTTATACAAAGTTTGAAAGGCGTACACTTACTTTTTTATTTTATTTTAAACTAGGAAACTGGATCAGTACAAAGTTACTATTGGCGGTGGAATATTGCGGAAAATTGATATAGTGCTAGAGGTAATAATCTATATTAACTTATTAATGTCCAAGAAAGGGTATTTTTAATTTTTTATGTGACAATAACACGTATGTAAGCCATTGTTATATTTATTGCATTTATTCATTCTTATGTGATATTTTCCCTGGCATTCTCATGCTAAAAGATTGTAGGAACGTTAGTTACAACATAACGTTGGTTTACTCACATTCTTTTTTTCTCTTTAAAAAATATACCGAAAATTAAAAAAGGAAAAAAAAAACCTTTGTACGACATTGCTACTTTTATGACGTGTGTACTCAGTAGAATATATTGTGAGAGAGTAATGTGCAAAACTCTAACATCCTTTTTGGTGAAAACAGCGTGCATCTTTATATAAAAAAATATAGTAATTTTCATGAATTTCATATAATCCCTAGTATGCTAATGTTTCTAAACTATTTAGACATTAACTTATTACTAGTACTTCGTTTTCACATTTTCACATGGCATCACCAACAAAAAGACGTGTTTTGAAAGGAAAATGCAATTAAAATCAGTATAAAACTTATAATTGTTAGGGGAGATAAAATTCAGATGAAAACATTTTATGTAATGTTTAACATTTATTAGCATGGATTTTCACGAACTAAAGTGTTCCCTTTGTGAATTCTTCGTCTGCTCGTTTTTTCACCAACAAACGCTGAGAATGGTCGATTTGTATGTTTGAAAGATCTTTTTTTTATTTTAGAAACTTATCAAATTATACTACAAGTTTCAACCAAGTGATTAAAAAAATCAAAAATAAGGATGGTAAAGTAGAAGTTGAGACTGAAGGTGGGACAAAATACGAAGCAGATGATGTCATTGTTACTTTTAGTCTGGGGGTTTTGCAATCAAGACAGGTCTCATTTAAGCCATCACTATCGAAAGAAAAGATGCTGGCCATCGATAAGTTCGGATTTGGTGAATATACGATTGCGTACTTTGAATTTTCCGATGCCTTTTGGGATAACGTATCCTCTTTAGTGTATGCTCCAGCAAGACATGGTGAAAACAGTATCTGGTACAACATGAACACAATCTATCCAGGATGTAACATACTACAGCTAGTTTTGATGGGGTTTGAAGCAAATGCAGCAAGTCATATGAATGACAATGAAGTTAAAGAAAGTGGATTGGCTGCTTTGGCTGCCATGTATCCTCAGATCAGTATACCTAAACCAGACGCTTTTGTCAGATCAGACTGGCTTACGAATCCTCTCACAAAAGGATCATTTAGCTACTGGACGCCTGCTTTTAGACCAGAAGATATGAAAGATCTTGGGAAATCAGAGGGTAATATACACTTTGCAGGGGAGCACCTCGGCTTAAAAAGTCATGCGTACTTACACAGTGCTTATAATTCTGGAAAAGACACAGCACAACGCCTCGCTAGAAGCGTGAGAGATTAAAAATATAAGCTTATAAAAAACAATCTATTACAACAATATTTTTTTCTGATAAGAGAATTACCGACATCGAAAATAAAACATTACAGTGAAATCATTTTTTATTGAGTTTTATTTCGCACAAGCACAGTAAAAGTCATATGGTGACTTTCCAGCTTTACTGGTGGAGGAAGACCTCAGGTGGTCCTACGTGTATTATTTCGGGGCACGAACGGTAACCTGAGTAGAACAACCGACGTTCCGTAAGCTAGCTGGATAGCTTCCTCACATGTAAGAATCCAAGTTCCCTTGCGGGATTTGAACCCATAGCGATGAGTTGCAAGTGGTTTGAACAACTCAGGCATTGACGCCCCCATCATATTTCTTTACAACCTTTTCAATCGACACTTTTAATCCCTTTCCGGCTTGCTGATGTGCTGGTATTGAATTAATGCTGCTCAAACATTCAATGAAATACCGGTACTCGAAACATTTGCCGAAATGCTGCCTTAGACATTATTAATTATTTGAAGAATTCCGTGAAGAATCACTAACTACTGACAATTGACATTTTTGCCTATGCCCCTTTCATTTCAAAAACACCGTAAAACTAGTTTTATTTTTCTTTAAGTGAGATCTTTTGAAGAATAACATTAACGCGTATTATCCTGCCTTTATTTTTCAAATATGACAAATACTTATAATATTTTACTAAATGATATTCAAAATAATATTTTACCTAAAGATCCTGTAACACATTTATCATAAATATAATGCTAAAATTAAGATTTATCAATATTGTTAGTTCCCAATAGCATAATTTATAAAGAAATTACAGAACTTAACATTATTATTTTCATGTAAATAAAAGGAGATAATAAAAATTATTTCTGTAAAGTCTAAGTCAATTTTTTCAAAAAGAAATGAATGCATATATTTTAATGATAACATATAATTCGTGCCAATATTTGTAGTACATATTTTGCATATTTTTTGATGTTAGAAAATTGTTTCATAGGCATAATTATATACATATATAATATTTCACCTCGGTGTGGTAAAAACCTCAATTACAACTTACACCATTCACAAATAAATTTGTGCAAACAAAATGATAGTCTTGCCTAAGATACAAAGCTGTTAAATGTGAGAAGAAAATATCAAATTATTGATATTATACAGGGTATGAATAACATGAAAATGTTTTATTTCAATGAAAATATTGAAACGGTGTATATAATAACTGTTTCAAGTTTCTCCGGACCACATGCCTTTAAACACACGTCACCAATATGTTTAAAACGGGCCGATCAACTAAGACTGGAGGAAGTGTCTGTTATGCATGATTGACATAATATATTGGAAATGATGGGAATTACAGCAAAAACGGTAGATTTTATAAGGTTTATTTCAGTAGTTTGTGCTACTGTGAAGTAAGTCGTGCACGATCTACTAAAAACTTATGTTTACCACCCATTTCGACAGAAACGTTGTTTCTTTCTGTAAGATGCGCACATTTGTTGGTTTTTTTTGTTCTTAAAAATAAATAGAGTAAACAAAGCAGAAAATCTTCCATGGCTAAATATATACAGATAATGACATTTACAAATGTTTATTTTAATATGCACACCACACAATTTTGAAAATATGCACTGCATGGTTATAGTGGTCATTGAAGAGCAAGATGGCATGATTGATGCGACTGACAGTGGTCTTCGTTGGTTGCATGGGTGGATTTAGTTGCCGCTCAAAGTAGGCAAAGGGTTAATAAAGGATGCCACCACTTTTTTTTCAGTACTAAATGCTGTTGAAAGAAAGACAATTTGAAAATAACTACATTGTTTGCGATTGTAAATAGTACATGTTTGTATCAATGAGTGTTTCTGTTAGTAGAAACCTCTGCCAATGACTGTACATTACATGACATTGTATTTGTTGAAAGTGCATCACTAAGGCAGGGCATTATACGCCCCATGAAAAGTATTTGATAATCAAAAATAATCTTTTAGTTAAGGAAGAGGCCCATTTCATTCATGAAACTTGACTGATAAATGTTTTATCTTAATTATCCTTCAGTGTGGGAACATTTTTGATGTTATATGCATGAATCAAAAAGCTTTTGTAGAGGTCTACCTGGCAATGCTACATGCCAAATATATAAGCTCTGAGAATTGTAGTGTTTCACAAAAAGATTAGATGTGTTTATACACCAGTCTACAAAAGACACGTGACCTTCAGGGCAGGGACAAGTTTGACCTCAGGGTCATGGTTATTATAACTCTTGTGGAAGACCATCGTCGGATACCCACGATTGATAAACATGTCACATAGCATGCAATCAACCGTGGGTAAAATGTATGTAGTTAAAGCTTAATGAGGGTCCATCCGCCCTTTCGGACACAAAATGCAGCTTGCGCTGTCGAGTACGGACCCCGGACTTTTCACCAGTCATGTCCTTAAAATTTACCTCCATGCAATTTCCACGGAGCATTAGTCAAAGATATGAATTTTGAGCCGAAAAGTAGGTCACTGTACGGCGGTCAATGAGAACCTAAATGTACAGTAACCTGTGACAATAGGAAAGGTGTTTTAGCCCTGAAATGGGCTGTTGGTGCCAGCTATAGGCCTGCCTTACAAGCCGTCTATCTGTACTAGGGGCTCACGCACCCTAGCACACCATCCTCGTCGTCTCAGCCTACTTTGTTGGGCCACTCCCCTCGGCATTAGTCAGGACATCGGCAGCTGGCCCGCAGAAGTGACGAAGTAGGAGTTCCGTAGTTACCGCCCACGGTTGAAGGCAAAATTTAAGTTGTCTACCAGCCAAGTTGTAAATCTTCTGCCGATGCCCTGTGCCTTCTCAGCGACGTGCACGCTCCGAGGGGAAGTGTGAAGTGCCGTGGGTAAAATAAATCGATTTGCGTCGATATACAGCAACAGGTGCGTAAAATATCTACCAATGACATCGCGTTTAACAAATCTATATTCTTCAACAGCGGAGGTAAAAAACAATAAGAAACAAAGTGGCAGCGCCCACGATTAAAAACTGTTGTACGTGTCTTGCTAAAATCAATGGCAAAAACTATCGCCAAATCAGTTCTTCTGCAAGCAGATATCAATCAGAAAGGAGAACATCACGCTGTAAAAGTTAATTATCTATACTTTCTTGCTGGAAATCGTTTAATTTTTCGATGTTGAACTTTTCACGTCTATGGTTGTCGCAATAGTGGCTGTAATACCGAACGTCGTACCGAACGAGCGTTTTGATTGGTTTTAATCCCCTCATGAAATCGTGAGGCAGCCAATGAAATAGCTGCCTTTGACACACCTCTATTCGACCGAATATCGGCAAAAAATCCCACGGCTGATGGTATCCGACGATGGTGGAAGACTACAAATGTATGCTTCATACCAAATATCTAAGAGCTGGGCTTTTAAAGTTTATGTATTTAAGCTATGTTATTATATTAGTAAAAATAAGTGTGATGCAAATTTTTACCCCTGAACCATGATTTATGTATATTTTGCAGAGGTCAACTTAGTAACGCTACATGCCAAGTATCTAAGCTCTTGACATTGAAGTGTCATACCATATGACGTTTGCGACCAGCATGGATTCAGACAAGCCTGCACATCCGCGCAGTCTGATCAGGATCCATGCTGTTCGCTATCATTTTCTCTACTTGTAATAGAGTTGGAAAGCGAACAGCATGGATCCTGATCAGACTGCGCGGATGCGCAGGCTGGTCTGGATCCATGCTGGTCGCAAACGCACTATGTTGGTTTTGTCGGGACGCGGCACATACAGTTCTTGTTTCATTTAATAAAGGGCAAACATGAGCTTTATAACATTAAAACAATGATGGTTTCAGAGCATGTTAGATGCTTATTACACGAAGAAAGTTAAGCTTCACGTGAAACTTAATGTGATAAAACTATATAAAAAAAAGATGTAAACAAAGTCGTAGTTTGACTTCAATAAAAAATTAGCGTGTCATTTATATCACAAATGTAAATATATTTTTTTACGACCGTTCATGCTCAAATAATGTACGCGCGATGGGGAAAAGGGGGACAGGAAGCCGTTGGACAAACCGCCACTATTTACCAAAATGTCAATGAAGACTCGGTGAAGTATATGGACGGCGTCTCGGATGAATACGAGTATATCAAGATTGTCATTGCTGTTACAGAAAGATTACCTAGCGTGGATTCCTCGCGAGTTTTATCGATGCAAGAAAGTCAGTCACTTATGACCTGTTTACAGACTTATGACCTGTTTACAGACAAACAAAGCGTATGATAATCTGTTACACCCAGCAACAAAAACAGCCGATGGAAAGTATGTGCCAGATTTCAACTTTCGCTACATAAGAGAGGATGATTCCTATGGAATGATAGTGTCACGCCAAATAGCCGATTTCGTTGGAGTGGAAACACCAGTAATTGACGAAATAGTTTTGTGCGCGCAAGAAAAGCTAGTTAAAAAAATCCTTATTCATAGAAAGCTATGTAAACTTGACCGGATCTACGATAGAATTCTAATGATCTATGGTATGCAATATCTAGGAATTTCTAAACGTCTTTTTTTCAAATATCAATATACAAAGTTCAGTATAGGTCACTTACACATCACTTGGTCTGTCATAATTTTTTTCTTTAGAATGTTGAATATTTATATTATATTGTTAACGTTCAAAGTATTAAAACATTGTGAAAGCTGCAACCAGTTACTATCAGAAGTTTTTGAAGTATCTTAGAAATATTAAATAGTGTTAATGACATTGACAAATGTCACATGAATATATTTGCTTAATTTTTTGCTAAGGTAACTGGTTTATCATTACCAAGTAGATTATCGAGTGAATTACGTAGGTTATCGCGTAGAAATTCCTGTTTAAATCCAAAATCAACCTTGAGATTATCGGCAGGCGTTATCAATTAATTTTGTTGAAAGTATATGCTTATAAAAGAGATCTTATAATTACTATTACCCAATTCTTACTCACAACTGGAGAAACTAGTAATAAACGCTATAGCTTTTTATGTTGACATTTTATTCATATTACAATGTGATGACAATGATTTGGCGTATTTCTTCAAA